ACCACTAACAAGGATCCACTCTCACGCGGGTCAAAAACCTGCGAAGTTTGAGATAGGCTTCAAAGGTCAAAATTAAGTTTGAAATATCCAATGAAGGTTGATCTCCTTTAGACTTTTATTATCAAGTTGGAACGCACATCATAACCTAAGTTGGACAGAAACTGGTACATGTACGAGTACAAGACATGAAAAATTTGTAAATGGTAGGGCATGGAGACATGACTAGATATTTATTTATATGTATTAGACCGTATACTTTAAAACAAGATCAATATTGTCTTTCCATTCACATGTTACGAGAATTAAAATTTTTATAACATTTTTATGTTCCTATTTATGTACATTATAAATTAGAAAACTGCTCGTTTTTGAACTAACTACAAACGGTCCTTTAAAATCATAGTTCTTAACTAGATATGAGCTGAAACACACTCGATCGATGTCCAATGGTTTTTAAAGAGTGGGTGTACGTGAAGTGTAGGACACACGTCCAAGAAGTGAATAACTGTTTTAAATTAAAATATGTTTGATATAAATGAGTACATGCTCAACTAAATATAGATGTCTATATTTATTCAAGAAGTATCCAAGAAATTGTGGTGAGGTTATGGATATTGGTCCTAGTATGTTCAGGTATGGGTAAGACTAGATAAAAATACCCAGATAATGTAGATCATAACTTGGATGGAGAAGATTAGTACGTTAGAAGGACAATGCCAGCTTCCAGATGCTTCTAATGAGCATGATTGGAAAAGTTAAAAGTGGGCAAGGGACATAGTTTTCTGATATTTCAAGGATCGGCTGTGATGTGCTTTGACCTAAATACAGGAGACAAGCTTATAGGCCTAAGTTCCTCATCTAGTTGTTTAGTGTGATGATTATAAAACCTTCAGAGTATTATATTTGAGTTCCCTTAGAGCCAGAACCCTCTATGCGACCAAAGTGTTAACCATTTGTTAGAACACTACTTAAATCCTCTAACCAGTAGATCCAAGTTAACTCTCCATTGTGTTTATTCAAATAATAACAATTACTTTATGCTATTTAAGAAAATATGACTTTTTTTGGGTGGGTGGGGTGTTGGCCTTTTTTTCTTTTTTTTTCTTTCTTTCTTTTTTTTCTTGGGGGTAATATGATGTAAAATGGGGGAGGGGGTCCATTGGAATCAGTGATCTAAATCGAACAACGCATCATTTCGCCAAAATTCATGATATTCGGTAGAAAATTAATTTAAAAAAAGTTAAGGTGACCGATGGATTTTAACAAGATTTGCAATGATAACCATAAACAAGCCCAATCTCGAATAATGTATTCGCAAAATTAATTATCATCATTTTTTTTTGCAAGTTCTAAGATCAATATCGATTTCTCAACAGTCACAAATTCAGTTCTCTCAACTCACAGATATAATTAAGCAGCGAATATATGATAAGAATTTAGAGATGTATTATTCATGCAATTAACTAATAAGTTAAGATTAACAGAATAATAGAGAGAAAACGAAACCTTCCCTTGATCTCTAAGATCATCCGCACGCTGTATTGATTATCTGAAGTTACCCGAATCCAAGAGGCCCATTAACTACAGTGGAGCCCACAGCTGATCCCATCAATATAATCTAATCTCTGTTCTTCTTCCATCTCAGGAAAAAAAAGAGAAGCCCATGGGTGTTCGGTGCAGCTCCGATCTGAGGAGAGGTGCACGGTGGCTACTGTTCGGGTGCAACGAGCAGGGGGAGGAGGCGAACAAGTGAAGGCTCGCGGGGGCTAAAAGCTTGGACGGAAACAGGGGTGATCGCAGGGAGTTTTGGGTTGGGGGCGGTCGGACTGCTTGGGGAAGCCAAGGAAGGGTTCATGGGGAAAAGGGGGAAAGAAAGAGGGGGAGTGGTGGCTCGAGGGTGAAGGGGAGTAGGGCTTTGGACGGCGGCTAGGTTGTTTGGGGACGGACAGAAGCTAGGGTTCAGGTGAGGGTTTCTCGGTGAAGGGAGAGGTGACTGACGGTTGCAGATGATGGGGGAATTGGGGTTTTCAGCAGTGGGGAAGAAATGAGGTGAGGGGGGCTGTTCGACATGGAGGGGGATGTTGGTTGTTGGAGGTGCTAGGGAGCTCGGCTGGGGGTGGAGGAGTGGGTGGCGTTTGCGAGGATGAAGAAGGGGGGTGGAAGGCGGTGCTGATGGTCGACGGGAGAAGAGAGATGGATTCGGTTGTGGGTTTGGGAGTTGATTGCCTGGAGGAAGAAGATGAACAGTGTTGTTTCTTTTTTTTTGACGATGTAGAAGAAACGAAAAACTATTGCTATGGTTTCACACCTCAGTTAAGCAAAATATTTTTCATTTTTATTCTTCAATAATTTTCATTCTGATTACAACCATGCTTTTATAGAGCAATTACAAAATTTGAAATCTCACACAGAATCCCTCAAATCTCTCACTTATTAACTACTAAATTAAACAACAATTCAAAATTTAAAAATTCAAAATTCAAAAATTAAAAACTAAGCTAATATGGAAGATTTCCAATTCTTGTTCTCATCATAATATCTGTAGCATTTGAACCCAACACAATTTGGGGAGATTACTCTAACAAAGAATCTACTTTAACAAGTATGTATAGATCCATCCTAGGATAATCATGCATGAGTGTAGTCTTGCATTGAAAGGGATAACTGATTGAGAAAGAGTAAAGGGGGCTTAACTAGGAGTTTGGGCCAAGATCGAATAACTTAAACCTTTTAGGTTAAATTGGCTCTTAGCTTCTATTTAAGGCCTATTAACCGCTGGTTGAGCCTGATTTCCCCCAGCAATAAATCACACATTGTTTATGAGAAATAAACGGGTCAGCTGGAAAAATATACATCCTGATGCACCTCTCCATTAAAAATTGCATAGTGCAT